TCAGGATGGCGTGCTATATGCCAGGCCGGGCAACCTGATCTCTGCAATGGCATTAGGAGGAAAGCGGCCTGCACCTCGTTCAGTGCGAGATCCCCTACGGAACCTTCCTGCGGCAATCGTTTTATGGCTGCCGTTCCAGGAAAGCACAACTGCTGATCACCGGTTCGGAATAGCAGATGGGCGACATGTGTCATCGGTTCAGGGTTAACAGCGCACATCAACGACTACAGCACAACTGGGGGCTCGCGGGACAAGCTGAGTGATTGACCGTCACTTTAACAGGGGGCATGGTTCACATTTTCAAACGGAAAATTCTCAGACTCTGGTTGGCCACAAACTACATGAGATGAAAGTAAAGATATGTCCTCTGTCATAGCATTTAAATCCGTTCTACCTATGAGCGGCTGGTCACATGACCTACAAAAATAATAAAGTCACCGGGACTCCCAAGTATTCAAGTCAATAAGTTTATCGACCCAAGTGTTTTCACTCGGGTCAATAAACGTATTGACTTGAATACTTGGGAGTCCCGGTGACTTTATTATTTTTGTACGTTTTGACGGAGGCATCCGTTGTTGCTGCTGCACCCGCCCATGCTGCATGGGCATTTTCCGGTCAGGAGTGCGATGGGATACATGGACTTTTGGTCACATGACCTGTCTACGTGCTACCAAAGAATCTTTGGGGGACCGAAGTTCGGGAAGAGAAGGCCGATCGGCAGCTCTGTCTAAATATTGATCCTTCCTATGTGCAGATCTGACGAAGGCTGTCATGAGGGAATGTCTGACCTCCATCAGCAAATGCCAGGGGCCTGGCTGTCATGACAATCCCCTGGTTTCAATACTAGAGTCAGCAACGCGACACAAGCAGGAAAATCAGGAGTTGTCACTTCATTATGATGCCTCCTGCTGCGTTCTTGCCATGTCATGGATTCAAACCATTGAAGACAAGGGATCAGCATGGCAACTCGGATCACTAGTATTTCCAGAAGGAAAGTGGCAGCCTCCGTACTTCAATCATGACAGGTTATCTTTACTCCAGACACACAGATAAGATACATATACAGTGGCTGTTTTATCTGCCAAAGGATTTGCATTCCTGTCCATCCAGTCCTAGGATTTATAAAGCCCTGTTACACAACACAGCCCTGTCTGGCAGGGAAGGGGGCCTGAATTTTCTCTACTGCAGTTCAGTAACACTTTTGGATCTTGTCCCTCCCCCAGCCTGTGACTGGGCAGTGAAAGGAGAAGCTGCAGACTGATGAGCTCATCTCTCTGTCACCCTTACTCTCTCTCCTATCAGCATGTCCCTTGCTAGCACATGAGCTGTGCCGCATAACTTACAGGCTTCTCGTGCTGCTTCTCCCTTTCCTATTCTGAGTTCTGCTATAAAGAGAATTGCAAGGGGCTGATGCCAAGTCATATGCAGGTACTTACAATGCTTGCCTTTAAAATAATATCTTGTTTGTGTCCTCCCGTTACCCTAAGGAGAACTATGGGGAAAAACACTGACCCCATAGTTCTCCTTTAATGATTTCAGGGCTGAAATAAATGTGCCTCCTATATTTGCCAGGAATTTAGCTTTAATTTCAAAAACACCTCTTGAGCTTTAGCTGAATCTGTCCCAAAGCAAAATAATGTTACAAGAAGCCTCAGTCGTGAGCAGTCACCCTACTTCGTGGTCGGCCTATTACTTCCTGTCACAGCGACATGACCTGTAGTGAAAAAAACAAAAAGGTGCAGCTTCACCCACCCAGGACTAGGCCCGGGATCACATTTGCTGATTTGCATACTTGTTCCAGGTCAGCAAAGCCAAATGTTCTGAAGTCAATGGCTCAGAATGACAGCCCAGCAAGTAGTCAAGGAAAAGTCACACCCGCGACGGCAGAGTATTTTTCATGTGATGTTTTTTCTATAAAGATATATAATGATATTGATTAACAAAATGGAGATACTTACGACTGGCAGGCAAAGGACATGCCGAAGATGGGAATGCAGCGGAAAATTCCTTCAAAGCGAGCATAGCTGACCTGCTGCATCCACTGCCCACTGAAGAGGCCGTGCTTGAACGAGGACAGAATGATCTGCAGACAGGGGGGGGGGGGGGGAGAGAAAAGCAGCAAGACATGAAGGCTGTGATAACAGGAAAGAAACTCTGGAGTCTCAGCAAAGACACATTATTATTATTGGTATTTATACCACACTGCACATTCACATCAGTCCCTGACCTCACGGAGCTTGCAATCTAAGGTACCTATCTCACATGCATAGAGGGCCAATTTAGACAGGAACCAATCAACTTCCAGCATGTATCGGGCAGCTACGGAGAAGGCCAGGTGCTGCGTGTGATTAGTACGCAGCCCCTGTCCTTTTCTATGGGAGTACGCGGCCGTACGCCACCTGCATGTCCGTGCGGGTGAGCGTACACGTACGCTGAAAGGATGGATCCAGTCTGCGTCCGAGCCGGGGACACCCGCACCTGTACGGACCTGCACTTGGGGTGAGCGTAGGGCGGCGTACGGTCGTGTACTCCCATAGAGAAGGACAGGGGCTGCATACTAATCACACGCAGCACCTGTCCTTCCCGGGAGCGGCCCGGTACGGCCGTGCACGCAGCACGGAGTTGTACGTGCCGGCCTTTTTCTCGTGTGAATGAGGCCTAAAGGTTATCTATAGCTGAGGATAGAGGTAGCACAGCAGAGACTCCTGGAAACAGGAGGTATGCACATGTCTTATGCAGGCCATACACTCAGCGGTTTTTCTTGTTCAGCTCCACGGGCCGAACAGCAGAGGGTCGTTCTTTGGTTGTCCACATCACTGTCTGGGTGACGTGGACGCTCTATTGCCTTTTCAGTGGGGAGGTCCTCTTAGGATCTAGAAGACTGCAGCGATCTGATGAACGAAGAGGGTGGTAAATTGGTGCAAGCACAGTAGCTGAAGTTTTATACTGATCAAAAATGTATATTCAAAACCCATCTCCAGGCAAAGCTTCCCCGCATCGATGGATCCACCGGCCCTCGCTGCTGGAAGCCATGCTAGAGTCTAAATAGGCAATGTGGTTAAGTT